AATAAAATTGTATTGAATTTACTTGTAGTTTTATTTACCATGTTCTTCCCTCTTTCCTGATATTTGAACATTCCTTTAAGAAAAAAAAACTATTTCCTTTCTGTTTAAAGAACGTCATTTAGCTGGTCTTTTAGGAGACGTCTACCAGCAAGCATTGCCTCTGTTTGTTTGTTTGTTTTAGTCTACTAATGTATTGATTTCCTGTTCATTTCTGAAAGATATTTTCACTAGGTATCACTAGTGAAATTATTTCCTGTATCACTTTAAAAATTATCTGCCACTTCTTTCTATCTTCCATAATTTCTGGTGAGAAATCCACTGTCATTCAAGTTTTTTCCCTTGGAAAGAAAAGTGCTATTTCTTTCTCACAACTGTTGAGATTTTTTTCTTTTCCTTTAGTTTTCAGAAGTTTCACTATGTAGCTTTGTATTGTGTGTGAGAGACTATCCTGTTTGGGATTCATTCAGCTTCTTGAATTGTAGATTTACATCTTTTGTCAAAGTTGGGCAGTTTTTGGCCATTATTTCTTCTATTTCTAATTTCTCAGCATCATCCTTTTTCTCCTCTCCTTCTGAGTCGTCAGTGACCCAAAGTTAGATTATAGTTCCACATGTCCATGAGGGTATACTGTTTTCCAGTCTATTTTCTCTTTGTTGTGTAAATTTGGTAATTTTTATATTTTTCTTCTGATTACTTTCTAATTTACTAATTTTTCCTCTGCCTCCTCCATTCTGCTGTTGAGCTCATCCATTGAGCTTCTTATATTACAATATTTTTCAACTCTAAACTTTTCATTTGTCTTCTTTATATCTTTTATATTTTTGCTGAGACTTTGCATGGTTTAATTTGTTTCAAGTGTGTTTGTAATTTTTCATTGAAATGTTTTCATAATGGTGGCATTAGATTTTTTGTCGATTATCCTAATATGTTTGTCTTCTCATTGCTTGCATCTTGGATTGTCTTTTCTTTATTCAGTTAGAGATCTTCCTAGTTTTTGATATGACAAGTGATTTTTGACAGAAATATGGACAGTTTGAGCTTTATATTATAACACTGAATCTCACATAAATCTCTCTTTTAACTTGATTCCTCTGACACGATGCTGGTGGGGATGGGGAATTGCTGACTAATTATTACCAAGTGGGAGTAAATGACAAGGTTCCCTACTAGACTTCCATTGACACCAGAGGAATGGGTCTTCATTACCGCTGCTTGTAGGTAAGAGAGTTGGCTCTCAATAGGCCTCTACTGATACTCCCTACTGGGAGAAGTTATAGTGACTCATTGTACTAAATGCTTCTCCTATGGTGTCCATGACACCATGAGGGAGAAGTAACACCATTACCATTGGGTAATGGTGAAAGTTCTGCCTCTCTCTATGGCTCCACAATTACCCTAGTGAGGAGAAGTAGGGATGCCTCATACTACTTGACGGGTATGTAAGTTCATGCTCTCCAAGTGGTCTGTCTCCATTGACCCTCACTGGGACATGAGATGGTTACAGCTGGTGACTGTGAAGGTCCCAACTCCCTACTCAGTCTTCTCTGGCAGCACCTTGGTAGATGTTATGGGACCTGTCATGACAGACTGGGGACAATGAAAGTCTAAGTGTTCTACTTGGCCTTTGTTGGCATTTGTTGAGGTGCTAGTTAGCTGAAGTAAGAAGTTATTGTCTAAAATTTTTCTATCTTTCCACTCAACTCCTTTATTTGTCCTTTGACCAAAATGAGCAGACTTGTGTTAGGGCTTTTTCTCTTTTTTTCTTCTTATCTCTGGCTTTAAGTTTGGGATATATGATGTGAAGAGAACAGAAGGGAACTCATTATCACGTCATTTATGGGTTTTAAGACCCCCTTACTAGCCCGCTTTCTTCTCTCTACTTCTCAGAGTTTTATGTTCATTTTTGTATAGTGTCTTGGGTTTTTAGTTGTACTTAGTGTGAGAAATAGGGAAAAGTATGTCTATTCCATCTTTTTGGAAGGAGAAGTTTCAACCACCTATGTCTTCATAAGTATTTACTCATTTTTCTACCAAAAAGTACACTGTAAAACAAGTGGTGTTTGCCCTATGGCTGGGGGAATCAAACGCCTCATCTGTTTAGTTAGCATTAGGTTTGACAAATACTTCCAGGAAGAAGACAAATGAGAAAATAGAAACAAAACAAACAATCAAAATAGATTGCAACTTTAAAGGATGATATATAAATTTGAGCATAATAGGTGCTATTTAGAAATTTAAGTTAAAAATTATTTACAAGCTTTTTAGCTTTTTAAAATCATGTTGTGCTATGTTTTGGTTTTCAATCCAAGGGTTAAGAAAATATTGAGAATCCTGGCACTGTGGCATGCACCTGTAGTCCCAGTTACTTAGGAGGCTGAGGTAGGAGGATCACTTGAACCTAGGTATTGGAGAACAGCCTTGGCAATATAGTGAGACCTTGTCTCAAAAAAAATAAATAAGTAAAAATAAATTAAAAATATGAGAATTCCTGGACATAGCTGTAGATTTTGTGTCAAGTCAGAAAGATTGTGGAAGCATCAATATTATAACCAACCCTATGATACTTATAATTTAATAGACCTTGGGATTTTGTAATCATTTCCACTGGAATGATTTTATTAATTACCTTAAATTTATTATTAAATATTATTATTTATTGTTTTTATTAATTACCTTAACATTTTATTAATTACCTTGAACTAATTAAAGTTTCAATAAAATATTTTAATGCTCACATTTTTGTATGCTAACATTCAAGGTTGAATTCCACAGAAAGTTAAGAATTGTCAGTTTACTTCAATTATCTCCTTAGATAATATTTTTTGTTAAATGTGGCCAAATCTATGTCATTATTTAAAAATAGTTAATCTACAGATTACAGGTCCACACTTTCTTATGGCTTTCTTCTAAAAAATATAGGCCTGTACTTTCAATTTTAATATCTGACTTGAAGATCAACTACGTGTCAGGTACAAAACTCAACATCTATTCTAGCTTCTTTTCTAGTTTTTTCTCTGCCCTTCTTATTTCATTAATTTTCATGATCACAACTACAATGAATAAGCTTTGAAGTTTTAAATCTCTGTTTCTCTTTACTACACTCTTCCTTGTGTACTCTACAGTTCTGACTGTATTTGACCTTTTCTCCAGGAACTACTGCAGTGGTCTCAAGTAAAACAAATCCTAATCTAAACTTCTTAGCTCTCTCCCAATCAAACCATTTATCATTGTATTATTGATTCATTCATTACAAATGGTGGTACCACTCTTTCAGTCTCTCAAACTGGAAACTTCAGTGACATTCGTTCATTCTCTACCCACTAAACATTTAAGTTACCACAAATTCCTTAAGCTCATTACAAATATCTCTTGAATCCAGTAGAATTTTTTTTCCAACACTGTTCCCATGATGTCCATTGTCTCTTTCTTGGAAAGAGCTTCTGCTCTGATTTTTCCAATATATCCCAAATGAATCCCATATAGGCTTATTTTCCCATTCATCTCCATATATTTTCCTATTCATTCCAAATGAATCCTATATAACTTCATTTTCCACTTGAGTTACATTTCTAATGTATGAATTCATAATGACATCATCATCAACAATAGTAAATCTCCACATTTATTGTTCTCCTAAAACATTTCGATCAAGGTTAAATTTCCTCTGCATTGATGTACCATCCAGTTACGTTTCTTTATAGTAGAATGATTTATAATCCTTTGGGTATATACCCAGTAATTGGATTGCTGAGTCAAATAGTATTTCTGGTTCTAGAACCTTGAGGAACCACACTATCTTCCACAATGACTGAACTAATTTACACTCCCACCAACAGTATAAAAGCGTTCCTATTTCTCCACATCCTCTCCAGTATCTGTTGTTTCCTGACTTTTTAATGATTGCCATTCTAACTGGTATGAGATGCTATCTCATCATGGTTTTGATTTGTATTTCTTTAATGACCAGTGATGATGAGCTTTTTTTAATATGGTTGTTGGCCACAAAAATGTCTTCTTTTGAGAATTGACTGTTCATATTCTCCGCCCACTTTTTGATTTTGTTTTTGTTTTTGTTTTTGTTTTTTTTTCTTATGAATTTGTTTAAATTACTTGTAGATTCTGGATATTAGTCCTTTGTCAGATGGATAGATTGCAAACATTTTCTCCCATTCTGTAGGTTGCCTGCTCACTTTGATGATAGCAAAGATTTGGAACCAACCTAAATGCCCAACAATGATAGACTGGATAAAGAAAATGTGGCACATATACACCATGGAATACTATGCAGCCACAAAAAAGGATTAGTTCATGCTCTTTGCAGGGAAATGGATGAAGCTGGAAACCATCATTCTCAGCAAACTAACACAGAAACAGAAAACCAAACACCACATGTTTTCACTCATAAGTGGGAGCTGAACAATGAGAACACATGGATACAGGGAGGGAAACATCACACACCGGGACCTGTTGGGAGTGGGGGGTAAGAGGAGGGATAGCATTAGGAGAAATACCTAATGTAGATGACGGGTTGATAGGTGCAGCAAATCACCATGGCACGTGTATACATATGTAACAAACCTGCAGGTTCTGCATATGTATCCCAGAACTTAAAGTATAATAAAAAAAAATAAAAGAAAGGCTCTATATGACAGCTTAAGGGGATTAGAATTTACCAGAGCCAATGGGGAGCCAGAAAGTTTTTTCAAACCAGTAAGTGAGAAATTTGAGGTAGGAGGGGGCTTGCTGTTGTTATTGATACTAATTTGTGATTTAGTCAATATTTTGGTTACTTTACTGTTAACCATCATTGTCTCTCTTTTCTCTAATGGAAAAATAAACCACTAGCCTTGTAAGACTGTAGTTTTCATTGATGTATTGAAAGATTTCTTTTCCTAAATCCAGCTAGGTTTTAATAGTCAAGATAGCTGTCATATTTTTCCTTAACAATGTCTCTTTATGTTAATTTATTCTCCATTTTGATTGTTACTATTCTATTTCAGGCCCATATCACCTTACATCCAAATAGCTGCAGAAAGAGAGAGAAGAAGGAAGGAAGTAAAAATGAAGGAAGGAGGACTGGGACTGTGTTCAGATGCCCTCCCTAGAGCAATTAAATCAGAATTTCGGAGAAATGGTCAAGGTATTCACAATTTTTCTATGTGCCACCAGGGTTGACAGCCATTGCCTTTTTGGTCCCTTTTAATTAGATTAATTTTACCTCTAAACCTTAACATCAAAACTCAATTAACCTTTTTAAAATGCAACTTTCAGTGCATGTTTTACTCCTAAATTTCCTCAGCCAGAGACTGTAGATAATATACCATTTTTTTTCTTTCATTATCTTTCATGGGAAAGATAGCTCTATTGACAAAGCTGTATTAATTTAATCTAGTTCTAAGGCTGGTACTTTCCTGACTTGGCTCATTCTCTTAAAAATCTAAGCATGCTGTAGAGAGTAGGCTTCTCCTGCCTCTGGTGTCTACAGTGAATATTTATGGAGATAAACTTCCAAAATTTTCTTTGATTCTTCTTCTGACTTTCAATTTTCCCTCATGTCAACCTATGTGCTTTTCTATCTGATCTTTCTCCTTCAGATTGACTGAATGACATCTAATCACATCTTCCTCTTTTCTGTGAGGTCTCCACAGATTGATGGCTACATAACCATAGCCCTAATTTTGCAGGGCTACACAAACACCCTCATCTGTATACTGCTCTTATAGACAACCCCAAAGCAAGGGTACCTGAAAATAGTCAAGAAAGATTCCAGGCATGGAGCTAGGGACAAGGCACAAAATGGCAAATGAAGCATCATTTCGTTTATATATTAACATGAGTGGGTCTAAAATGTAGCTTCTTTGTAGTATGTGAGATTGTGATCTCGTCTTCCATGACTGCGTGCCATGATTCTAACAACATGTATCATCCTCTAATACCTGCATTCATTTTTAGGAAAACAAGTTTTATTTTATCCCAGTGGCATACTAGCTAGTGAAACTCTGAAGTCATTTTGTTCTACTCTATGATTAAGCACTGAGGTGTCTGGAAGGAAGTGGAACCCTTCAACTTTGCTGGTATTCTTAGATGGAAGCTTTACACATTTAAAACACTAAGCTTCTCAGTCCACTGACTGGTGCTACTTGGATCACCAGTCCTTGGTGAGATCCAGTCCTATATCCTAACACTGGGCATTATGTTTTTTTTCTGCATCCTATCCTATTTAGATTGGGCATCCTTTAAACTGGGATCTTGCTATGTTCCCTGTTACTTGTTATTCTTCAACTCTCTGTTGTGGAGGAGCAGACAATTATGCCTCTTATTATTATTTTCATTCTGTAATAAGCCCAGTGCTATAAATATATTCTCCAACTCTGTGGCTTGCTTTTTCACTCTATTGATGATGTCACTGATTTTTTCCCTAGTTCTTTGAATAGCATCTGTAAATCTTGTGGGTCTCATTTTAGATGTAAAGTTCTCAGAAGAACCTTCTTAGATTATTTAGGATTGTGTCAATGAAGCATTTTAAGCAAAGGCACAATATGAGATTTACATTTTTAGAGGATCATTCATGCTGTTGTCTTAATGATAGATATAGGAGAAAAGTTAACATTCTATTGAACAATTCTGAAGATATCTTGGTTGATTATGGCTTAAGATCATGGCAACAGAGGTAAAAAGAAGTCCGTAGATCCTAGATATATTTAATGAAGAAATTTGAGAGTTGATGAATTAAATGTAAGAGATTGAGAGAGGGTGGTTATATGCTTACCCCATAGATTTCTAGTTTCAGTAAGTATTTGGATAGATAATACAATACCATCACATGTATGACTAGGACTGAGTACACAATAGGATCTTGGCTCACTGCAACCTCTGCCTCCTGGGTTCAAGCAATTCTCCTGGCTCAGCCTCCAGAGGAGCTGGGATTACAGGGCATGTGCCACCATGCCCAGCTAATTTTTTTTTTTTTTTGTATTTTTAGTAGAGACGGGATTTCACCATGTTGGAGAGGCTGGTCTTGAACTCCTGACTTTGTGATCCACCCACCTTGGCCTCCCAAAGTGCTGGGATTATAGGCATAAGTCACTGAGCCCAGCCAACAGTAGGTTTTTAATATAATATTTATTTGAATAAGTGAGTGAAGGGATGGATGAATAAACCATTTCTGATCAGAAAAATAAATGAAGATTTCATGGGGTAATTTCATTGTTTTGAATAAGATTTCTAGGTCTTGAAGTAGGGGTAGGATTTAGACAGGTATGGATCCAGTAACAAATACACATGCCCTGAATTCTTGAGTGAATGAATGGTAAAAGGGAATGCAGAGGGGCCGGGCACAGTGGCTCAGTCCTGTAATCCCAGCACTGTGGGGCCGAGGTGGGCGGATCACAAGGTCAGATTGAGATTATCCTAGTTAACATGGTGAAACCCCGTCTCTACTGAAAATACAAAATATTAGCCAGGCATGGTGGCGGGAGCCTGTAGTCCCAGCTCTTTGGGAGGCGAGGTAGGAGAATGGTGTGAACCTAGGAGGTGGAGCTCGCAGTAAGCTGAGATCACGCCACTGCGCTCGAGCCTGGGCGACAGAGCAAGACTCCGTCTTAGCCTAAAATTTCCTTAAGCTGATAAGGAACTTCAGCAAAGTCTCAGGATACAAAATCAATGTGCAGAAATCACAAGCATTCTTATACACTAATAACAGACAAACAGAGAGCCAAATCAGGAATGAACTCCCATTCAAAATTGCTTCAAAGAGAATAAAATACCTAGGAATCCAACTTACAAGGGATGTAAAGGATCTCTTCAAGGAGAACTACAAACCACTGCTCAGTGAAATAAAAGAGGACACAAACAAATGGAAGAACATACCGTGCTCATGGGTAGGAAGAATCAATATCGTGAAAATGGCCATACTGCCCAAGCTAATTTATAGATTCAATGTCATCCCCATTAAGCTACCAATGACTTTCTTCACAGAATTGGAGAAACTACTTTAAAGTTCATATGGAACCAAAAAAGAGCCCACACTGCCAACACAATCCTAAGTCTAAAGAACAAAGCTGGAGGCATCACGCTACCTGACTTCAAGCTATACTACAAGGCTACAGTAACCAAAACAGCACGGTACTGGTACCAAAACAGAGATATAGACCAATGGAACAGAACAGAGCCCTCAGAAATAATACCACACATCTACAATCACCTGATAGTTGACAAACCTGACAAAAACAAGAAATGGGGAAAGGATTCCCTGTTTAATAAATGGTGCTGGGAAAACTGGCTAGCCAGAGGTAGAATGCTGAAACTGGATCCCTTCCTTACACCTTATACAAAAATTAATTCAAGATGGATTTGAGACTTAAATGTTAGACCTAAAACCATAAAAATCCTAGAAGAAAACCTAGGCAATACCATTCAGGACATAGGCATGGGCAAGGACTTCATGTCTAAAAACATCAAAAACAATGGACAACAAAAGTCAAATTGACAAATGAGATCTAATTAAACTAAAGAGCTTCTGCACAGCAAAAGAAACTACCATCAGAGTGAACAGGCAACCTACAGAATGGGAGAATATTTTTGCAATCTACTCATCTGACAGGGTTAATATCCAGAACCTACAAAGAACTCAAACAAGTTTATAAGAAAAAACAAACAACACCTCAAAAGGTGGGCAAAGGATATGAACAGACACTTCTCAAAAGAAGACATTTATGCAGCCAACAGACACATGAAAAAATGCTCATCATCACTGACCATCAGATAAATGCAAATCAAAACCACAATGAGATACCATCTCACACCAGTTAGAATGGCGATCATTAAAAAGTTCTAATTTATTAGATTGCATCCCCCATCTCTACCATGACTATGCTTCCGGACTAACTTTAGTCCATATGGTAGGAACCAAAAAGAGCCCCATGACCATCACAATCCTTAAGTCTAAAGAACAAAGCTGGAAGGCATCACGCTACCTGACTTCGATACTGAGAATGCTAACAGTCAAGACAGCACCGTACTGGTAAAAAGAAGATATAGACCAATGATACAGAACAGAGCCTCAGAAACCTAATAACCACCCACATCTACAATCCACTCTGATGTTGACCAAATGACACAAAACAAGAAAATTGGTGGGGAAAAGATTCCCTGTTTAAATAAATGGTGCTGGGGGAAAACATGCCTAGCCAGAGGAGAAGTGCTGAAACTGGATCCCTTCCCCCCCTTACACCTTATACAAAAATTAATTCAAGATGGACTTGACAGACTTAAATGTTAGACCTAAAAACCCCATATAAAAAATCCTAGAAGAAAAACCTAGGCAATACCATTTCAGGACATAGGCATGGGCAAGGACTTCATGTCTAAAACATCAAAAACATAGTGGCACAAAAGTCAAATTGAAATCAAATGAGATCTAATTACAACTAAAGAGCTTCTGCACAGCAAAGAGAAACTACCATCAGAGTGGAACAGGCAACCTACAGAATGGGAAATATTTTTGCAAATCTATCATTCTGACAGGTTAATATCCAGAACTACAAAAGAACTCAAACAAGTTTAGTAAGAAAAAACAAACAACACCTCAAAGGTGGCAAAGCATCATGAACAGACACTTCTCAAAAGAAGACATTTAGCAGCAAACCAGACACCATAAAAACCAACTTCCTCATCATGGAACATCAGATAATGCCAAAATCAAAACCACAATGAGAGTACCATCATCCACACCAGTTAGAATGGCGATCATTAAAAGTCCAGGAAACAAACCAGGTGCTGGATGAGGATGTGGAAAACCAGAAACATTTTTACACTGTTGTGGACTGTAAACTGAGTTCAAACCATTGTGGAAACAGTACGGCGATTCCTCGAGGATCTAGAACTAGAAATACCATTTGACGAGCGATCTCATTACCTGGGTATATACCCAAAGGATTGTAAATCATGCTGCTATAAAGACACATGCACATGTATGTTTTTGCGGCACTATTCACACAATAGCAAAGACTTGGAACCAACCCAAATGTCATCATTGTGACAGATTGGAGTTAAGAAAATGTGGCACATATACACCATTGGAATACTATGCAGCCATAAAAAAGCTGAGT